TTTGTAGCTTAGGTACAATAAGGGCCACTCAGCCTGATCTAATGGCTGCTGTCTAAATGGCTTTAGTGTGTGTTTAGAACGTCTTTAGTGAAGTAAATTAAGGTTTTTTTTTTTTTTAAAGCCTGATACCTGATTAAGTTGTTAAACATATGAGACTCAGAAAACAGCCTTTGAAAAGGGTGAGAGACAATTCTGATTGGTCTGTCTAGGCTTTTGAATGGCAGTTGATATGACCCTTTCTTTTCTGTGGGTGACTATCATAGTTGACCTTGTCACTATCACTGAGAGAAATATTTCTTAAATATGAAGGTCCTCACATCAGTCATGGGGACCAGAACGCCATAGAAGAAAGAGATAAGCTTGTCTTCTCCTGGTGGGTCCTGGGACTTGGGCTTCCCCGTGCATGAAGAGGATGGCTCCATAGAAGACTGGTAAGGCAAGTACCTGAAGACGCTGAGGCACGAGGATCGTTGTATTTTTGGAACCTATCATCTCAATCCTGGTGAGGTTGAAGCAGGAGAATTGCTATGAGTTCAAGGGCAGCCTGTGTTGCACAGTGAGCTGGAAGCTAGTTTAGTGTGGGCAATAGTGAGATTTTTGTCTCAAAAGAGGTGGGGTGAGGGGAATAGGTTGATGGGGAGGGACAAGGGGCACTTTGGGCTTGCTCTGGGTGACAGTCTTCAATGCACCAGCTGTTGGAAGGGTTTTTGCTTACATTGCTGGGCTCTTTGTATCCACAGAAGCAACTGGAACCTGGAGCAGGGAAGTGGCCTCTCTGAGTTTCTTGCACAAATTGGTGACAGAAGTAAGACTTAAACTCAGTTACACTAACCCATGCTCAAAGAGGGCTTTCCACCGCCTTAAGAGTGACAGCTGAAAATGCCAGGAATCTTGCTCATGCAGATGCATACAGCTTTCATTTAATTTGGTATTTCTTTGACGTTTCAGAGAGAAAATATAATCCTCAAGCAGATCCAGTTGTTAGAACTAGCATACTTAGCAGTCTTTTTAAAAAAATACTTTATTTACCTTTATTTTATGTACATTGGTGTAAGGATACCAGATCCCCTGGAACTGGAGTTACAGACAGGTGTGAGCTGCCATGTGGGTGCTGGGAATAGAACCCAGGTCCTCTGTAAGAACAGCAGTGCTCTTAACCACTGAGCCATCTCTCCAGTCCAGAAGTCTTTATACTTGGATCACAAACAGGAGGAGCTCTGCATGCACAAAGAAATAAGTCTAGCTGACAGCTTAAATGTAAGGAGGGTTATTGAGTTGAAGGGATGGCTTAGCAGTTAAGAGCTTGCTGCCATTACAGAGGATCTGAGTTCAGCTCCAAGCACCTGCTTGGGTGGCTGACAACCACCTGGAACTCCAGTTCCGGTGGTGGGGGTGGGGGGAGGTCTGATGCCTCTGTCCTCCTCAGGCACCTGTCTGTCTGTTTGTCTGTCTGTCTATCTGTCTGTCTGTCTGTCTGTCTGTCTCATAATCACTTAGTTAAAAATAAAGAGTTTTACTTCTCTTGCCAGTTATCTGTTCCTGCCAAGGCTTGCAGCTTTGGCTTTTCTTCTCTCCACCACGAAGATACTATTTTTACTTCTCCTGTTTATATATGATCACTATGAATATATTATATTCATATAGGTTTCACCTATTTCTTGATGCATTTCCCCCTAGAATAACACACAGTCACCTTATTGCACTTTGTGTTTCTAGTAACTTTGCACTAAATTTAATATTTTATTGCTTAGATTTTTATTTTCTTTGGGATTATAATGTAATATCATTTTCCTCTTTCCTTTCCTTCCTTCAAACCTTCCCATATACCCTCCTTTGCTCTTCAGTTAGGGATGAGGCTGGGTTAGTAAAGTGGTGGTTTTAGGTTCTCTTCTGAGATCCATGACTTCACTTGCCCTGGGTAGTTGTTTAGGTTCCCAGTACCAGGACGGTTTCCTTCTTGTTGAGCAGATCTTAAATCCAATGAGAGAGCCGCTGGTTACTGCCAAGGTACGCATGCCACTAATGCAACCTTAGGGTTATCATGCTATGTTGGTCATTGGTGAGGTTCACAGGCCTCATAGCTGGGTATGTGGATTTAATTTTTTTCAGATAGACAACATATTTCCGGTGAATAGCTTTGTTCTTTTCTTTTTTTCTCTGTATTCAATTTTTAAAAATTACATTTATTTATCTGTTTATTTGGGGAGTATTGGTGCACATGTGCATGGCATGCCTTTAGAAGTCAGAAGACTATCTCCCTCCACAATGAAGGTCTGTCCCGGGAATTGAACTCAGGTTGTCAGGCTTGGTGGTAAGTGCCTTTACCTGATTACTGATATTGTTGGCCCTTTTCAGTATCTTTATTCTTTGTTTTATTTCCTGGATCTGCTGTCATGAGAGAGACTGTAGTATGACAGGCAGAGCAGATGCCCAGAACATCTGGGGGATTTGTCACCAAGCAAGCTGCCTGTCACCATCCTGATGATTCTACTTGTGTTAAGGATGATTTCCTTTATTCAAGTCCCTTACTTTTAAAAAGTCATAAATTGGATGGGGAGTGCCACATATGACCCCAATCCCAGTTGAGGAGCTTTGGGCAGTTAATGGTTGATGGGGAGGGAGGGCCATTTTTCTTTAGCCACTCATAAGTTAACCACGACCTAAGAAACAACCCCACATCCATGAACATCCTATTAACTCTAATTAAACTTGGCAGGTTATTAAAATAAGTAAAGAAGCTGCTCTCTAGGACCTAGCCCCCAGGGGCACGCCCTGTGCCCTAACCCATCTACCACAGCCCAGGTGAACAGGCGGAAGCATCCTACCAGCCCTCCACCCAACCATCTCCCCCCACCCCCCACATCATCAGTGACCAAAGGAGACACACACCTCATCTACACCTGGAGGAAGAGTGACCACAGGAGCCATGGACTCCACCTGCACCAGTTGGAGGAAGAGAGACCCACAGAGGTGCAGGCCTCATCTGCACCCATTGGAGGAAGAGGTGTC